ATTCGTATAAACAATCACCTTGGCTCCTACTAAGTAAGATCTAAACTTATCAATAGCAAAAACAATAGCCAAGAGTTCTTTTTCAGTTGTTGCATAATTAAGTTGAGGTCTTGTTAGAGTTTTGCTAGCATAAGCAGTTGCATGATGCTTTTTATCTTTAGTTTGTCCCAAAACTACCCCCATAGCATAATCACTAGCATCACATATAATTTCAAAAGGTAGCGACCAATCAGGGAGTTGAATGATTGGTGCAAAGATGAGTGCTTTTCTTAAGAATGTTAAAAGATTTCAAGCATGCATCATCAAATTCAAAGAGAACATCCTTAGCCAAAAGATTTATAAGTGGTCTAGCAATATGAGAAAAATCTTTTATAAAGCGGTGGTAAAAACCAGCATGACCAAGAAAACTATGGATCCCTCTGATATTTATAGGAGGAGGTAACTGTTCAATTACTTCAATTTTAGCTCTATCTACCTCTATCCCTCTTTCGGACACCAAGTGTCCAAGCACTATTCCTTCTCTAACCATGAAATTATATTTTTTTCCAATTAAGGACTTAGTGCTTTTCTTCACATCTTTGCAAAACTTTGTCTAAATTTTGAAGGCAATCATCAAAAGTTTTTCCATAAACAGAAAAGTCATCTATGAAAAATTCCATGATTTCTTCAATCATATAAGAAAATATAGATATCATCCAAAAGACATTCTACGGTAGGCATATGTTTCCATATGGACATGTAAATATGGTTTGCTTTGGTCATCTGGATGGATCGGTATCTAGTAATAACCTGAATACCCATCAAGAAAACAGAAGAAATAGTGATTCGTTAGTCGCTCCAACATTTCATCAATAAAGGGCAACGAAAAGTGATCTTTCTTTGTTGCCTTATTAAGTTTTCGGCAATCAATGCACATCTGCCATCCAGTGATGGTTCTTTGGGGGATTAATTCATTCTTTTCATTTTTTAACAATAGCCATGCCTATCTTTTTAGGCACAACTTGAACAGGGCTAACCCACTCACTATACGACATAAGATAGATAATCCCGGCGTGCAAGAGTTTCAAAACCTCTTTCTTAACAACCTCTCTCATCGCATTATTAAGCCTACGCTAGGGCTTCCTAGAAGATAGAGAGTTACGATCTATAGGGATGCGTTGGGTGCAAAGAGCAGGGCTAATTTTCTTAAGGTCTTGGAGTGAATAGCTAAAGGTAGAGTGATGCTTTTCTAAGACAGTTTATAACTTATGATCACAAAAGAATCATGATCATTATTGAGAAAAGCATATCTAAGACCAGAAGGCAGGGGTTTAAACTCAATTGTGTGCTTAGGTGGTTCTAGCAATTCATCTAGAGGTTCAAACTCAGAGATTTTCTTCTTCTTCCTCGATGAAGAACTGGACATCATCTTCAAGGTTGGGTTCAATCAAATAATCAAGAAATGCAACCTTAACCTCTTTTATTGGGTCTTCCTCGGAATTGGCTCACTCTCAGCATTTAGAGAATGAGTAATGGGTATAGAAAGTCTAAAGTTTTTTCCATGTCTTATATTCAACTTCCCCGTGTGGCCTTCTTGGATAAGTCTTTCAATTGGTTGTTCTATCAATAGGTCAAACTTCATAATATCAAAGATATAGAAGCTCAAATGAACTTTGGTTCTTTTTACCTGGATATGGAGGACATACAAAATTCCCAAACTTAGGAGAATGTGTCCTGAAAGACTTTTCAATAACTTTGTTGTTGGGGTCAATGACATGTGTTCAATAAATCAAGAGCAAAAGATGCAGACATGATATTAACACCCACACCAGGATTATAAAGAGCATCGAAAGGAGCTTTATTAATTTGTCAATGAATGGATATAGAAGGTGAATCTAAGCGAATCACATCAGAGGAAAGCTTTGATTCTTCTAACCATTCATTGCTTATAATAGATACTAGCTCTTTCGTAGTCTTTTTAAGGAAAGCTTCCTCAGACGGACCTAAAGGTTCTTCATTGGATGATGATTTTCTAGACTTCTGGGGTCTTCTCATGGTATGGTAATTCGAGGTAGTTCCATATTCATTGAAAAGTTCATCTTCAAATTCAAGCATGAAGTCCAAAATTGGAGTTTCCTCCTTTTCGGTGGTTTAGGATTTGGGATAACTAAAGTTGGTGATGGGTTTGGTAAAGATTCGGGTTTAGCTATCTAGGATTCTTCCTCTAATGGCTTCTCTTCTACTTCTTCGGGAATGTTCTCTAAGATTTTCGTAAGAATGCTTCTCCCCGTATTGGCGAACACATGCAAGAATGAGCCTCCTGAGGCCGTATTAAGAAGCTTCGAGATTTTCCTATCAAGACCCATATAGAAGTGTTGAAGAAGAATGGGGTCTTGAATGGCAAGGTCAGGGCCAGTACTAATCAGAGTATTAAAGCGTTTCCAAGCCATGCCTAGAGATTCTTTTTTCTTTTGTTTAAAAGATAGAACTTCTGAACGAAGTTCGACTACCCTAGAGATGGGAAAGAATTGTAAGCAGAAGCTAGAACACAGGGCTTCCCAATCTCCTTGTCTAGTCCTTATGGTGAGATTGTACCAACGTTTAGCTTTTCCCATTAAAGAGAAAGGAAAAGCTTCCATCGTAAGGTTTCGTCTGACATGCCTACAATGCGCAAGCATGCATAGGTCTGACGCAAACTCATTTAGATGGGAATGGGGGTTTTCATCATCTTCGCCCAAAAAGCGTTGATCCTAAACCATGTTGATTAAACACGGACGAAGCTCATAGCCAGGTGTTAGGATAGGCTTTAAAGACTCTTTTGGCTGTAGGCTTGCGCTCGTGGGTTCACTATATTGGTAGATGAGGGTGGATTCTAGATCCATGATAAAAAGAAAGAGAAAAGATAAAAAGAATAATGATACAAGGATAAGCTAGGTTTGAAAGTTAACTCAGCAACCGTCTCCCTAGCAATGGCGTCAGAAATGCTTGTTGGTATAAATTAATGCACACAGAATAATCCACAAAGCATGGATAATATATCGATGTAGCACTTCACCAGCAGTACCTAGTTTTATATCAAACTCGAGGAAACATGTGTGAGAATAACTAAATCTAACTTATCCTAACTTCACAATCAAGGCTAGATAATAGGAGCGTAGAGGAGACTGCTAAGGTCTTCTAGTTCTAACTTCGGTAAGCTTTGTCTTCTATTGTTTAATTCTAGGGATATTATAAAAATACATGCAGAGTATGTTTCCTATAGCAACAATATCCTACTAGGCCTACTAACGGAGTAACGGGAGGTGGGTTACAAAGGATTCAACGAGGCTATAAGAGTCACCCTCGCTAGCCAGCACCAATCCAGAAAATAGGGTACATCCACGAGTAACCGAGTCTAAGCACCATGGTTACACTACGAATACTACTTTAACCCAGGAGCAATAAGGATTAAAGTACTCAAAAGAGAGTCATAAACCTGAAGAACAATATGAACAAGATGCTTACTTGAATTAGAAGTCGATTACAGAGAAATCTCAGAAGTAAGCTCAAGAAGAACTTAATTCCGCCATGGTACAAGACGTAGAGAGAGCACTGACAGGCCGGGACTCCTCCAAACTCTTTCCTCTCACTCTATCTCATTATCTCTAATACAAGACTAGATCCTATTGCGGACTAATCTTCTCTTGATTGCTAGCTCTGATCCTGGTGGACATATAGATTAGGGTTTCTGGCTTCTCAGCTCTCAGGATCAAATAAGACATGCCCTGGAGGGGGGGTGCAGGCTGGTATATATAGCCTGGAGCGTCCAACGTGAGCCCTTGGATCAAACTGACTTAAAGAACGACGGAGATGCAATCCTTAAGGCGGTGGAGAACTAACATAACAACGAGACTGACAGATGGGGCCCATAGGGGCCGGACGGCCTCCAGGTGGGGTCGGGCGGCCCCACATGTCAGAGACACGTGTCCCGCTTCGGTGATTCGCCTTCTGGAGTCTTCTAGAGTCTTCCCACGTCGATTACGCGGTGGAATTCCGTGATTTTCTTTTACGAATAGGTCCTCCTTAGCGATTTTCTAATTTAATCCTGCTGAAAACACAGATTCACCAAAACTCGTGGAATTTATTAGTTTAAACCACTAAGTCTACATTAGTGATCTATTTTAACCATTTATACAAGTTATATTGATGGTTTGTGATGAATGTTAACTACCACCAACGGTGGCTGAAATTGTTGGGGAGTGTTAAAGGATGTCGTGCTTATCCCCTTAGCTCCCTACGATGTGTGTAGTTTGGATATGACGTATGGTTAGTTGTAGCCTTGGCTTGTAAGTCAAGATGTAATCTATCCTGTAATCTGAGTTTTTTGTACAGGCCACGTTGGGGGCTGTTCTCAACTATATAACACGCAACCGAGCCCTCCAAGGCAGGCAACTCGTTCCAGCCATTTCCACACCTCTAACTTAGGATCCGTTCGGCGTAGTTCATGCATCAGCTTCGTGTGTAGCTCTAAGCTGTAACATCATAGTGGATGAAGCCATACCAAATGATACCATGCGCATGGAGTTGGAGGAGTTTCATGTATGGAGGCAGAGCACCAAATATTGACTCCGCTCGAAGGGTTTCGGCTATAGCACCATAGCACATAGGAGCGAAGCTGCACCAAATACACTCTTAACTTCCCCTGTCTCAAAATAATAGTTATATTTTAAAAAGGGAAAATCAATTTATATAAACTTTGATCATTAAATACTTGAATTATATATAAATTTATTAGAGCATAAAACTTGTATTCAGAGCGTCTATGAGGTTATTTTGATTTTTAATAAATAATAATATAAGATAAATTAAGTATCAAAATATTTTATTCGAGTTTCTATGATCAAAATATGTTTATCTTTTATAGGGATGGAAGGATTTTTTTTTTTTTTTTTGCGACGACGGAAGGAGTAAAGATTAGAAGCCGGGTTGCTGCGGCTCCGGTGCTCGGCGCTTCCTTGCTGCCTCACCCAACTTTTGACGCTATGCTAGTAAGGCAGGCATGCCCACTTGCGGACTTGCCCAGGAGCGAACCAACTGTTACTCGTCTGATCCGGTCCCGCCCAATCACTCCACGAGGAGAGACGACACTACACACACCACACGCCCGCCCCGCCGAGAGCACGCCCACCCGGCCACCCCCACCCGGTCGCCAGTCGCCACCATGGCCGCGCTCCTCCAGTCGTCTTTCCCCTTCCCTCACGCCTACTTCCCCAACCCCAAGCCCCACCACCTCGTCGCCCCCGCCGCTGCCACCACGAGCCCCGAGTCGCCGAACGCCCCCAAACCCCGCCAGCGCCCACCTCCGCCGCCTCATTGCCCGCGAGGACCTCGCCGGTGCCGCGCGCCTCGTCGAGCGCTCCGCCTCCTGCGACGGGGAGGCCCCCGACGTCTACCTCTGCACCAAGCTCATCCGCAACCTCTGCCGCCGGGGCCGCACCTCCGACGCCGCCCGCGTGCTCCGCGCCGCCGAGGGCTCCGGGTCCCCCGTCGACGTCTTCGCCTACAACACCCTCGTCGCGGGGTACTGCCGCTACGGCCATCTCGACGCCGCGCGCAGGCTCATCGGCTCCATGCCCGTCGCGCCAGACGCCTACACGTACACGCCACTGATCCGCGTGCTCTGCGACCGCGGCAGGGTCGCTGACGCGCTCAGCTTGCTCGACGATATGCTCCGCCGAGGGTGCCAACCCAACGTCGTCACCTACACTGTGCTCCTGGAGGCCCTGTGCAGGAACAGTGGGTTCGAGCAGGCCATGGCAGTCCTTGACGAGATGTGTGCAAAGGGGTGCACACCCAACCTCGTCACGTACAATGTCATCATCAATGGCATGTGCAGGGAAGGCCGCGTTGATGACGCCAGGGAGCTCTTGAACAGGTTACCCTCTTACGGGTTCCAGCCCGACACTGTCAGCTATACCACCCTCCTGAAGGGCTTGTGCGCTTCTAAGCGGTGGGATGATGTTGAGGAGCTCTTTGCCGAGATGATGGAGAAGAACTGCATGCCAAACGAGGTGACATTTGACATGCTAATCAGATTCTTTTGTCGAGGAGGTATGGTGGAGCGAGCTATTCAAGTTCTTGAACAGATGACGGAGCATGGGTGCGCCACCAACACTACCTTGTGCAATATTGTCATAAACTCAATTTGCAAACAAGGCCGGGTTGACGATGCCTTTAAGTTATTAAACGACATGGGTTCCTATGGGTGCAATCCAGATACCATTAGCTATACCACGGTCCTAAAGGGCTTGTGTCGTGCCGAACGATGGGATGATGCCAAGGAACTTCTGAAAGAGATGGTCCGGAATAATTGCCCCCCAAACGAGGTAACATTCAATACATTTATCTGCATCTTGTGCCAAAAGGGGTTGATCGAGCAAGCTATTATGCTTATTGAGCAAATGTCAGAGCATGGGTGTACAGTGGGTGTTGTCACATACAATGCTCTTGTCAATGGATTCTGTGTGCAAGGCCATATTGACAGTGCCCTAGAACTGTTTCGCAGCATGCCCTGCAAACCCAATACCATCACATACACTACTTTGCTGACAGGCTTGTGCAACGCTGAACGGTTAGATGATGCTGCAGATCTCGTAGCTGAAATGCTTCGTAGGGATTGCCCTCCAAACGTAGTGACTTTCAATGTACTTGTGAGTTTCTTCTGCCAAAAAGGATTTCTTGAGGAAGCAATTGAACTCGTTGAGCAAATGATGGAACATGGTTGCACCCCTAACCTGATCACATATAATACATTACTTGATGGGATTACCAAGGATTGCAGTTCAGAAGATGCCCTGGAGTTGTTGCATGGCTTGGTCAGCAAGGGAGTATCACCAGATGTCATTACATTTTCTTCGATCATTGGTATCCTCTCAAAAGAAGATAGAGTTGAAGAGGCCATTCAAATGTTTCACGTAGTGCAAGATATTGGAATGAGACCAAAAGCTGTGGTGTATAACAAGATACTACTTGGGCTCTGTAAAAGATGTGAAATAGATAATGCTATCGACTTTTTTGCCTATATGGTATCCAACGGATGCATGCCCAATGAATCAACCTACATTATACTTATTGAAGGCCTTGCTCATGAGGGTTTGTTGAAGGAGGCCCAAGATCTACTGAGCGTGTTGTGTTCAAGAGGAGTTGTAAGCAAGAATTTAATAGAAGAGTTACACTAAGGTTGAAATCCAAACTGTGCATACCCTTTGAGCTGTGATGAATCCTGGCATTAAGTACTTATTCATTATTCACAGTGAGTGGATTGATAGCCTCGTGTCCTTCAAGCTGCAGTGCTTCATGTAGATGGTTGTTTGAGGGCCCATAACCTCGTATGAAGGAATCTTGACAATGTGAGTTTCTGCTTACATGTATTTATCATACTTTTGCCAAGGGGAATGTAAAGTTTCCCGTTTTTGGTTACTCATATTTGTGTAGCTGTATATATTGCCAAAATCATTTTGTATGTGAATAGGCTTAGGATGTAGAAATCTTAATAACAATAATCTTGTTCAGGATCCTCATTTAGAAGAGTCAAGACCAATGAGACCAAGAGACGAATCTGGAGTAAAGCACAAGAAAAAAAAGCTTGGTGCTCATAGATTTCATACTATCGCAGTAACAAATACAATCAACATTTTCTTACCTGACACTTTTGAGTTTCCCTAATGCAATGACTTGTTAAACTGCAAGCATTGTTTTTACAATGATTTTGGGTTTTCCTTTCATGAGCAATGGACATGTGTGCGGTTGCTTTTCCGTTCATTGAAGAATGCAGATATAACATTCCTCACTCAATCTTGTTTTTGCCCAGGTTTCTGTCCCTTAAAATTGGCTTGTCAAAGAATACTATAATTTAGAATATAATATCATCTGGATGCCCTTTTTTTACTTTATAAACAGGCTGGTGTGCTTTACCATCTTCATCACCAAGAATTTGTATGCTGTAAGCTTTTTAGCTTCCTTTTGGTTGCTGTAGGTTTATGCCATTATATTTTAGGCCTCCTGAAACCTCAGAATCTAGCACACATGCTATATCCTGAATAGTCAATTCTGGTATCAGATTCTAACATTATTCTATGTTTCAATGGCTGATTATCAACTTTGGTGGAGATGCGAGAATTGCGATACTAATCAACGATTCAAGATGAAACAAACCCCATGAAATCGTGAAGTCCAAGAACCTTTTCTGCAGGTTAGGTCATTCAGGTATGCAGTAACCTTTTATCCTTCCATATCAGCGCAGCACTTAAATTGGTTGGTAAACCATTGAATTGCATGAGATGCTGAGCTGAAGAAATATCATTGCTCAGATGCTCAGAAAGTCAGAATCAAATGTTCTAGGAGTTGTTGGGGGCATGTGTATCAATGGTGTAATTTTCAGATAAGCTGGGTTCTGGTCCTTCTGGATGTACACTGGCTTTGACGAAGTTTTCAGTACTGTCCCAGGAAGAGTGACAAGTGGCGCATGACTTGGTCAAGCATGGCATGGCGCAGGAGACGGGTGAAAATTGTGTGCTTACTAAAATGTTTCTATTTGTGTGCAAATCTAATGTATTTGCAGAGCCAAAATGGCTTTGTTTCTGTGCAAATCTGATGTTGCAAAGTGGTGTTACTTCAACACATAAAGGAGACATCAATATGCTGCAAATCTGATGCAGCTAGAGATTTCAAATTTCACAAGTTTTGTTAATGCAAAGAATCTACCATAGGCAAGTCAAACAATGGAGCTTTGAATCTAGTCCCTGCAGAGAGCTCCTTCACGGCGTGCATGCCTCCGGACGTCCATGTCTACTGCCATCTTCATCACAGCAGCGAGGAGCTCCGTCTCCTCCAGGACCGCGTGGTGCCGTCAGCTCGACTTCCGCGCTCTCCGGTGAGGAGCGAATGCTGGCGTGGCGCAGGAAGCCTGCAGCGCGGGAGGCTCGATTTTCGCCCCCTCCAGGGAGGCGTGAATGGCGGCGGCGTGGCACAGGAGCGCTGGAGCAGCGCGAGGAGCGGTCCTGGAGCTGCAGCAGTGCTCAACACCGCCATGGCAGGCAACGCTGCCGCCGTCAAGGACCTGCGCCACGCCTTCTGCTTCTTCGACTCCGATGGCAACGGCACCATGTTCACCACCAAGGTCGCGCGTCCTCTCTCTCCTCGGCATCATCAAGCCCCATCCGTCGCGCAGTGTCGTCACATTGTCGACGGCTAATACAGCCAGTTCTACCGGACTTGTGTGCCTTCACGTCGGTGTAGACCATGGTGTGCTGTGCGAGGGACGACGAAGCCGCCGTGCGCCAGATGCTCGGCTGCCATGGAGCGCGTGGTGCGCGCGAGCGTGCTTGGAATTGCGGTGCGGCGCCGCGTTCAGACAGGCCTCCTTCCCGCGCGACCAGGACAGGCCTGACTCCGACGTAGTGGCCCTGACGGCCGCAGCGCTGGCTGCAGGCTGCGTCCGCCGTCGTGTTCCGGCACGCCAACCCGTCCTACTACTAATCATCCCGCCTGCTCCACGCAAGGTGTATCTGATCCGCGACGCCGGTGCGGTGTGCGTCGGGATACGTTCGGGCGTTGTGGGCGCCGGGGACGTCGATGCTGCGAGGAAGTTCGCGCGTGAGGCGGACAGGCGCGTCGGTGCACAGCGCGGGAGAACTGCAGGTCGGTGACCGGGATGCTGGCAGCGGCGTGCGCGGCGCGGCAGGGCTGCGGCGGCACGGGAGAACGGCAGCGCGGTGCCGAGCGGAGGGCTGCGTGAACAGCCGCTCGGTGCGTTGGATGCTGGCACGAAAGTCAGCGACGTGACTGCAGCCAGAGGATGGTTACTGAATCTGAGTCTGAGGGACTGCCCTATCTTCACGGAGAAACGAAGTGGAAAATCCCACCTGAAACGCTGACAACCGTCGGATGGCGCTTTGACGCTGGATACAGGCACGAAAGTTACGTCGTTCGAAGCAACGTTACCCAATCTGAGTCGACGCCTGCCCGGCTTCACGGAGCGCGCCTCCTGCGCTGACAGCCGTCGGATGGCGCTTTGACGCTCGGCGCCCGCTTCCCGTCGTCCAGAGGAGCAGAGCAGTCTGCCGCCCAGAGAAGCCTAGCCACCGAACTGCACAGCACCGACGCCGGGGCCGTGCGCCGCGCTGGTTTCCTGTGGCCTATGCTGACCGCAGCGGCGCCGGCTTCCCGCCGTCCAGAGGAGCCGAGGAATCCGCCGCCTGCTGCCCGGAGGAGCCGAGCCATCGAACTACGCAGCATGTACGCCAGGACGCTGGGGTGCCGCTCGGCAGCATTGCTACTGGCCCAGCACACCGTCAACGTCGAGGAGCTTGTAAGGACTTCACATCAGAAAAGTACCTGACCTCTTCCCTATCACATTCCTGTATTTTGCGTTCACTTCACATACAACAACATTTCCATCTATACCTGAAATCAGAAAAGTAACTGACCTCTTCCCTATCACATTCCTGTTTATTGATTTAGGAATCATCATGTGCTATCCATTGTGTGCAGTAAATTTATTATTTTTGACAGAATTTGAGAACGAAAATTTGGTTTATGTTAAAGGTAATGGCAGAACTTCACAAGGGAACACCTCAAGTTGGTTTGAGGTTTAAAGATTCGGATTAGGCTTGGCAGTTTTGGGTGGCATATGGGGGTTACATTGGACTGAGGGGGAAGGAAATTATGAAGTCACTGATGTTGGCAAAGGTATGTTGCAAACATGTAACCTATACATTTCTACATACTGTTTTCAATGTAAATCTAAATTAATTATTTTAATTTCATTGGCAGCGGCAAAAGAAAAATGTTGTTGTTCAGCCCCAAGTCCAATTGGAGAATGGCGACAGCAACAAAAAAGCAATTCTCAAGAATACAATGCCGTTAGCAGTTTTACTCAACTCATAACAACTGCAACTTGTGTTGATGATGACCTTCAGTTCTAGTATGTATAGGCTAGTTAGATAGCATTTTGGACACGGCTAACTACAGTCTTTTGCGGCCTAAATGTAGTCTTTTGTGCCGTGAATGTACATGTGAAATGGCCTTTAGAATGTTAGGAGTAGCATGTGTTGGGGTTTCAGTAGTAGCAAATATTATTGGCACACACAAATCTAAAGTGTGCTTATCTCTTTACCAATTATGTGCTTACTAAAATGTTTCTATTTGTGTGCAAATCTGATGTATTTGCAAAACCAAAATGACTTTGTTTCTGTGCAAATCTGATGTTGCAAAGTGATGTTACTTCAACACGTAAAGGAGACATCAATATGTTGCAAATCTGATGCAGCTAGAGATTTCAATTTTCACAAGTTTTGTTAATGCAATACCTCAAAATGAGGCCTCTTGATTTCATTGTACAAACATGAAGAATCTAATTTACATGAGCCATAGGCAAGTCAAGCAATGGAGCTTTGAATCTAGTCCCTGCAGAGAGCTCCTTCACGGTGTGCATGCCTCCGGACATCCATGTCTACTGCCATCTTCATCACAGCAGCGAGGAGCTCCGTCTCCTCCAGGACCGCGTGGTGCCGTCAGCTCGACTTCCGCGCTCTCCGGTGAGGCGCGAATGCCGGCGTGGCGCAGGAAGCCAGCGGCGCGGGAGGCTCGACTTTCGCCCCCTCCAGGGAGGCGTGAATGGTGGCGGCGTGGCACAGGAGCGCTGGAGCGGCGCGAGGAGCGGTCCCGGAGCTGCAGCGGTGCGGCACGGCGCCTGGTGCGGGAAGACTCGCCACCATGGCTGCGCTCCTCCAGTCGTCTTTCCCCTTCCCTCACGCCTACTTCCCCAACCCCAAGCCCCACCACCTCGCCGCCTCCGCCGCTGCCACCACGAGGCCCGAGTCACCCAACGCCCCCAACCCCACCAGCGCCCACCTCCGCCACCTCATTGCTCGCGAGGACCTCGCCGGTGCCAGCTGCCCTCGTCGGCCGCTGCCTCCTCCCATGACGGGAGGCCCCGACGTCTACCTCTGCACCAAGCTCATCCGCAACCTCTACCACCGGGTCGCACCTCCGACGCCGCCCGCGTGTTCAAGGCCGCCGAGGGCTCTGGGTCCCCGTCGACGTCTTCGCCTACAACACCCTCGTCGCTGGGGGTATGCGCCGGTCACCACGGCCACCTTGACGCCACAAGCTCATCATCGGCTCCATGCCCGTCGCGCCAGACGCCTACACGTACACGCCACTGATCCGCGTGCTCTGTGACCGCGGCAGGGTCGCTGACGCGCTCAGCTTGCTCGACGATATGCTCCGCCACGGGTGCCAGCCCAACGTCGTCACCTACACTGTGCGCCATGTTCGCTTGGCTTATAAGCGGTACTTTTCAACCAACGAACAGTATTTTTGTCTCACAACAAATCAGCTAACCGTACTTTCAGCCATGGCATGCGTGCAAAGGAATGCACGCCCAACATCGTCACGTCATCATCAATGGCGTGTGCAGGGAAGGCCGTGTTGATGACGCAAGGGAGCTCTTGAACAGGTTGCCCTCTTATGGGTTCCAGCCCGACACTGTCAGCTATACCACCCTCCTGAAGGGCTTGTGCACTTCTAAGCGGTGGGATGACGTTGAGGAGCTCTTTGCGGAGATGATGGAGAAGAACTGCATGTCAAACGAGGTGACATTTGACATGCTAATCAGATTCTTTTGTTGGAGGTATGGTGGAGCAAGCTATTCAAGTTCTTGAACAAATGACGGAGCATGGGTGCGCCACCAACACTACCTTGTGCAATATTGTCATAAACTCAATTTGCAAACAAGGCCGGGTTGACGATGCCTTTATAAGTTTTTTTTTTGAGGAAACTGAAGGGGCCAAGGCCCCTGCAGAGAATTTTATTAGCTGAACAAGGAGAGTACAAATTACAGACAAAAGAAAGGCAAACCGAAACTACTGAGCTTTACAGAGCTAAACAGAGTAGCTTCAAGAAACAAAGGAAACAAAGAATAAAACTAACACCCTGATCAATTATAGCTGCTGGATCCATTGGTCATAAGTTGCAGACAGACTTGCTTTCACCCTTAGGGAGACACAAGTTTTGCTTCTTTGAAAAAATAAATCTTGCACTACTAAATGCCAACTTGATTATTATTGAAAATAAGCTCATTCCTTGCCTTTCAGATTGTCCAACTCATAAGGATGACAGCTACCATGAAGAATTGACTGTGCATTTGATCTTTGATGGCCATTACATTTTCAAAAGTTCCTCCTGTTTGAATTATATTCAGATTTAAGAGACCCCAACACTGTTGAGCAAATGGACAGTGCCAAAACAGGTGATCCATTGTTTCTTCCACCAGCATTGAACAAATTTCACAGTTGTATGTCTCTAGAGCCATATGCTTTCTTCTTAGAATGTTCCTTGTGCTTAGCCTATCTTTTAGCAATAACCAAAAAAATACCTTGTGCTTCGGCTGACAGGATGACTTCCAGAGCCATTTGAAGGCTGGGTCAATTTCTTGATGTCCTAGTAATTTTCTATAAGCCACTGCAGATTTGAATTTAGATGCACCCCCAGAGTATGTCCAGACATCATTGATACCCTCATTTATAACTGTATTCTCTATCCTATGCTGGATACTTAAGACTTGATCAAAGGCCACTTGAGATAAAGGTAAAGCAAAAACTTCAGTGAATTCACCTTCACTGAAGGCATTTTTCACAGAAATGTGTTTATTCTTAGCAAAAGAATATGCATGAGGGAACTGTTCATCAAGGGCCTGTGTGCTCCATTTATCCTTCCAGAAAAAACATGAATCACCATTGTTCACCTGAATGTTTGCCATCTTTTTAAAGAATGTTAAAAGTTTCAACACATCCCTCCACCAGAAATACCCCTTCTTCACTGTACCTGGTAATATGCCTGTCGGTGCGAAAAGTGACCAACAAGTAGATGTTTGTAGTTTTGCCGTGCGTTGTGATCGGATGTGGCCTAGCACTCAATGACATAGGATTTATACTGGTTCAGGCAACGTGCCCTACGTCCAGTTTCAGTCGGTCGTGACTTTATTCCTGAGCCCAGGTGCTCAAAGTTTGTTGTGGGGTTACAAACGAGTGGGAATAAGAAGGGGATGTTAAAGGTCCGGTTGGACTCTGAACCGAAGGTCCGAGAGTGACGGGAGTTCCAACGTGCGCTAAGCGTTGGAATGTATGCTCTGTGTGGCTTGAGAGTTCTAGAGCTGCGGAGTTGTTCGAATGCTTAGAATATCTAAGGTTTAGCCGAGAGAAAGAGTCGGAATGACCGTCCTCCCCCGTTGGGAGAGAGCGCATCCCCTTTTATAGATGAAGGGGATGGCCTTACAAGTTTAGAGAGAGGGAGAGCGTGCATGTGTGCTACTAAGCCTTGTTGCCCATGCTGTCGGGTACAAGACGGTCGTCGGCGCCCACAATACTGTTTATGTCAGACGCGCATGTCAGGCTTTAGCGTGTTCGCCTGGCATGGCAAAGGACGGCGCCCACAACACTGTAAAGCAAATGTCGGCGCCCACAACACTATTTGGGTTCTGATATGCCTGGAAGGTTGCAAAACACCCTTCTGGCATGGCCTGACAGCACTGTCTTGCAGGTGTGCGGTACGGTCCTCGGTATTGCGGTTGACTTGAGCGCCTTATCTTATCTGCTCCGCCTGATTCTTAGGTCCTCACCGAGCGGGCTTCCCCGGTCGGTCGTTCCCAGTTGGCTCCGACCGCGTCGGTCGAGAAGAGCTGTAAGTAGAGGTTCGGCGTATTTCCGGTCGGAAAAGCGGGTCAGAGTCAGAAGCGAACGTCGTCCCCTCCCTGGCCAGGCCTTCCGGTCGGAGAGACTGGATCGCTCTTCCGGCCTGTCGTTAGGTTATCTGGGCCGGTCCAGGAGGCGCGCATTGTCGCAACGTCGTCTGCTGGGCCGAGCTTTTGCTGGGAAGCGGGTCCATTGGGGACCTCGGGTTTATGAACCCAATAATGCCATTCCTGTAATGTTTTTCCCACACCAGATTCACCCAAGGTATATCCTTTTTGTTAAAAACTTGTCCAAATTATTCATTAATAGTGCCTGATTTTGATGTTCTAAGTTAATGATTCCCAAGCCTCCTTCCTTTGAATTGCATACCATTTCCCAGGCAGCTTTGGGACGACTTCCCCCATTTAGATTAGTCCCTCTCCATAGACAATTTTTCCTGAACTTATCTATCTGCTTGATCACAGGTTTGGGGAGCTCTAGTGTACACATGTAGTAAGTTGGCAAAGAAGAGAAGACTGCATTAGTGATCTGAAGTCTACCAGCTTGATTTAACATGGAGGAGACCCCTCCAAGTCTTCTCTCACACTTATTCACCAGGGGTAGAAAATCTATGACCTTAGGCTTGGTTGTTCCCAAAGGCAAACCTAGATAAGTGAAGGGCAGGGACCCTTTAGAACAACCAAAGGTTCTAGCCAGCAGGTCTAACTTTTCATCAGAGATGTTGATGGGCAGCATCATTGATTTGTTGTAGTTAACCTTCAGGCCTGTTGAAGCAGTGAAGTTCTGTAGAACAGTTTTAAGAAAAAAGAGTTGTCTGGGGTCACCTTCCATGATTATTAGAGTGTCATCTACATATTGTACAATGGAAAAGCTGGAATCTGACTGCATTGGAATAGGCAACT